CAACAAGTATGAATCCATAAATTGATAAGGTACACTTTGTAAACAAAGATGAAACATCTAACTTGCTCTATCTCACCCTTCCAGACTTTGCCGTTGTCTACTGACTCCCCGTGGACTTGCTGGTTTATTGCCACCAGATTAGACCCAGTCACATGCATCTTGGTCAGCTGTGTTCTCTGTGTTTGAAATTGTTTCTGTTTCTCTCTCCTAGTCTGCTCTTATAAAGGCCACTATCTATTTTGTCTATAAGGTGGTCTACTTCATTGTCCACTGTGTAACCATCCTCCGTGTATATAGATATTTACATGTCTATGTATATAGATAACTATGTCTATGTGTATCTATAACAGATATTTATATCTGTAAGTACATAGATATTTGTGTCTATGTATAAAGATATCTATGTCTATATATATCTATAACGGATATTTATATCTGTATGTACGTAGATATTTATATCTGTATGTACATAGATATTTATGTCTATATGTACATAGACATTTATATGTCTACATATAGAGATATTTATGTCTCTATGTATCTAAATATTTACATATCTATATATCTGTGCATATAGACATTTATATATCTATGTACCTAGACATTTATATCTCTATCTGGACATTTATATATCTATGTACATAGACATTTATAATTAGGTACACTTGCGTATACACAAATAGATGTTTTTCCACTGTAACAGGGCCTGGTGAAAAGGGAACACTCCTACAAAGAGAGTCAGACATGACTTGGCAGCTGAACAACAACATAATAGAAAATACATACAGTTCACCTGCCACCAACAACACATAGTATATCAATGTTCTACAATAAAAAATAAAGATTAATTTAAAAAAATAATGCTCAGGGGGACTTCCCTGCAGTCCAGTGGTTAATATTCTGTGCTTCCAAAGCAGGGGGCGAGGGTTCGATCTTTGGTCAGGGAATTAAGATCCCACAAGCTGCATGGCACGGCCAATAAGTAAATAAAATTATTAAAATAAATAAATAAGAATGTTCAGGAAGAACACACAAGCTTTTGGGTGTTTCTTCAAGTATATTCCGTATTAAATTACAGTCCTGGTTGAAACTCAAAAGCTTTCATTTCCAAGGTTAAGGTTAGGGTTAGGGTTAGGGTTATGAAAAAATCCTGCCGCCTTGTGGCCATACCCTGCAATAGCAACCTGAAGAGTTTTGCTTATGAATACCTCTTTGTTGTTCAGTCCCCAGCTCCTGTCCCACACCCTGTGACCCCACGGACTGCAGCACGCCAGGCTTCCCTGTCCTTCACCATCTCCCAGAGTTCACTCAAACTCATGTCCATTGAGCCAGTGATGTCATCCAACCATCGCATCCTCTGTCGTCCCCTTCTCCTCTTCCCTTGCTGCTGCTGCTAAGTCGCTTCAGTCGTGTCTGATTGTGTGCGACCCCATAGACGGCAGCCTACCAGGCTCCGCTGTCCCTGGGATTCTCCAGGCAAGAACACTGGAGTGGATGGCCATTTCCTTCTCCACTCCTCTTCTCTTACCACAGCTCAATCCACAGTGGGGCTGGGGCTGACCACACAGCTCACTCCACGGAGGTGATGGGGGCAGATCCCACACCTCACCCCATGATAGGGTTGACCCTGACCTCACCGCATGGTGGAGCTAAGGCTGATCCCACTACTAACCCCACAGTGGGGCTGACCCAACACCTCACACCACAGTGGTCCTGGGGCTGACCCCAAACCTCACCTTACGGTGGGGCTGACCCAACACCTCAATTCATGGTGGGGCTGGGCTTGACCCCACACCTCACCCCACAGTGGGGCTGGGGCTGACCCCACACCTCATCCCATGGTTGAGTTGGGGGTGACCCCACACCTCACCCCACGGTGGGGCTTACCCCATAGCTCAGCCCTTGGTGCAGCTGGGGCTGACACCACACCTCATCCCACGGTGGAGTGGGGGATGACTCCACACTTCACCGCACAATGGGGTTGAACTGAGACAGACCATGGTGGAGCTGCAGCTGACCCCAAACATCAGCCCTCGGTGGAGCTGAGGCTGACCAACACTTCACCCCACGGAGGAGTTGGTGTCTAACACAACACTTCATTCCACAGAGGAGTTGGGGGCAGAACCCACACCTCACCCCATGGAGGAGTTGGGGACTGACCTCACACCTAATCCCACAGTGGAGCTGGGCCTGACCCCATACCTCATCACATGGAGGAGCTGGAGCAGACCCTACACCTCATCCCACAGTGGAGTTGGGGATGACCCTACACCTCAACCCACAGTGGGGCTTACCCCATAGCTCAGCCCTTGGTGCAGCTGGGGCTGACACCACATGTCAACCTACGGAAGAGTTGCAGATTGACCCCATACCTCACACTACAGTGGATCTGGGGCTGACCCCACACCTCACTCCATGGTGGGAATGACCCAACACCTCACCCCATGGAGCTGCTAGGGCTGACCCCGACCTCAGACCACGGTGGAACTGGGGCTGACCCCACAACTCAACCCCACAGTGGGGGGGTGCTGACCTGACACCTTATCCCACGGTGGGGCCGAACCTGCACCTCACCCCTCGGTGAATTTGGTTCAGATCTGGCACCTAAGTCCACAGTAGAGCCTGGGTTGACACGACACTGCACCCCACAGTGGGGCTGACCCGACACCTCACCCCACAGTGGAATTGGGGCTTGCCCCATACCACACCCTGAGGTGGAGTTGTGGCTGACCACACACCTCACCCCATGGTGGAGTAGGGGCAGACACCACACCTCACCCATGGTGAACTTGAAGCTGACCCAACAACTCACCCCACAGCGGAGCTGGGGCTGACCCAATACCTCACCCCTCCGTGGGTTTGGGGCTGACACCACACCTCACCCCACTGAGGAGTTGGGGACTGACCCCACAACTCAGCCCATGGAGCATTTGTGGGTAAACCCCAGACCTCACCCCACGGTGTACCAGGGGCTGACCACACACCTCAGTCCACAGTGGAACAGGGCCCGACCACAGACCTCACACCACGGTGGAGCTGGGGCTGGCCCCACACCACACACTTCAGTGGAGTTGTGGCCGACCACACACCTCATCCCATGGTGGAGTTGGGGCTTGCCCCAAACCACAACCTGAGGTGGAGTTGTGGCTTGCCGCAAACCGCAACCTGAGGTGGAGTTGTGGCTGACCACATACCTCACCCCATGGTGGAGTAGGGGCAGACACCACACCTCACCATGGTGAACTTGAAGCTGACCCAACAAGTCACCCCACAGTGGATCTGGGGATGATATGACACCTTATTCCACAGAGGAATTGGGGAATGACCACACACCTCACCCCACAGTGGACCTGTGGCTGACCACACAGCTCACCACATGGTGGAGATGGGGTTTATGGCACACCACACCCTACGGTGGAGTGAGGCTGACCACACACCTCATGCCTTGGTGGATCGGGGTCTGATGCCACCCCTCACCCTACAGTGGAGCTGGGGCTGACCCACAACTCACCACGGATGAGATGGGGGCAAACCCCAGAACTCACCCCATGGTGGACCTGGGGCTGGCCACACAATCACCTCAAGTTGGAGCCAGAGCTCACACCACACCGCACCCCACAGTGGAGATGGGGCTTACCCCACAACACACCCCACGATCAAGCTGGGGCTGACCCACAGCTCACACAGCAGTGGCACTGGGCCTGACCCCACACCTCACCCCATGGAGGATTTGCATGGAACCCATACCTCACACCACGATGGAGCTGGGGCTTACCCCACAACTCACCCTATGTGGAGTTGGGACTGACTCCACACCTGACCCCACGTGAAGTTGAGGATGACCCCACACCTTACCCACAGTGGAAATGGGGCTGACCCTACACCTCACCACACATGGAGTTGGGCGGACCCCTCACCTAACCCCAAGTGGATTTGGGCCTGACTTAACACTTCACCCCACTTGGGGTTGGGGGTTGACCCCACACTTCACCTCATGGTGAACCCGGGGCTGACCCACACCTCATCTCACATGCAGTTGGGGCTGACGCCACACCTCACCACACAATGTAGATGGGCCTAACTCACATCTCACCCCACGGTGGAGCTGGGCTGGCCCCACACCCCATCCCACATGGAGCTGGGCTGACCCCACACCTCACTCTACATGGAGAAGGGACTGAACCCACACCTCACCATATGGTGGAAAGAGGTTTTACGCTACACCTCATCCCACGGAGGAGCTGGGGCTGACCTCACACCTCACCCCATGTGGAGCTGGGGGCTGATGTCACATCTCACCCCAAGGAGGAGGTGAAGGAGGAACCCACACCTCATTCGCTGGAGGATTAGAGGGCTGACCCCACACCTCACCCCATGGTGGAGTTGGGGGAGGAACCCACACCTCACAACACGGAAGAGTTTGGGGTGGACCTCACACCTCAAACCACAGTGGAGCTCAGTATGAGCCCACACCTCACCCCACAGTGAACATGTTGGCTGACCCCACACCTCAACCCACGGTGAAGCTGCAGGCTGGCACTACACCTCACCACACAGTGGAGCTGTGGACTGACCCCACCACTCATCCCAGGGTGGGCCTTGGGGCTGACCCCAAACCTCGCTCCACAGTTTAGCTGGGGGCTGACCCTGCACCTCAGACCCAATGGACCTGGTGGCTGACCCCACACCTCACACCATGGTGGAGCTGGGGAGGACACCACACCTCACCCCATGGGGATGTGAAGCTGACCCCACACCTCAGCCCACGGTGGAGCTGGAATGACCCCAAACCTCAGCCCACGGTGGAGTTGGGTGGACCCCACTCCTCACCCCACTGTAGAGCTGGGGCTACCCCACACCTCACCTCACAGTGGAGCGGGGCTGACCCCACACCTCCACTCAGTTCCCACCTAGAGATGATCCTCTACATCCCTCAGGTACAAAACGAATGAACTTCACGACTAGTCTCAGAGAGCCTGGGTCTGAGCCCACATCTCTCCTCGAGTGTAACCGTGCTTGTTGCCACACTTGAGTTCCTTGGCAGCTCGGAGTCATCCTACAGCCCGTCAGCGTTGGGTGGAGCTGAAGAAGATCCCAAGGTGGATCTAGGGTGGCTCCCACACATCACCTGGGTTTACACTGCAGTTTTTACCCCGTCACCTCAGGTTAACATGCAGTTGATCTCCCATCTCACCTTGTGCAGAACCGCAATTGATCCCACACCCCAGTCACCACAGGACGTCTGTCTCAGCAGCTGACTGACAGGAAATCCAAATGGGCTCATCCCTTATCATTGTCGTTCAGTCACGAAGTCACGTCTGACTCTTTGGGACCCCATGGACTGCAGCGCACCAGGCTTCCCTGTCCTCCATTATCTCTCAGAGCTTGGTCGAACTCAAGTCCATTCGGTCGGTGATGCCATCTAACCACCTCTTCCTCTATCCCTTGTCATTTCCTGGTTTAAGTGACAAATGAGAGGAGACTGACATTTTGTTACTGTGTCTGCCTCCTGAGACAGGCCTGGAGGTACCCACGCGACACAGCTTTTATTCCAGGTGAGTCTGGAGGCAGAGTGGGCGGTGAGGGGCGTGCTGGGGCGCAGGCTCCGCCTCTGCTCCCCGCGCCGCCGTGCTTCCGCTCAGCCAGCAGGGGGCGCTCGCGCTACGCGAAGAAAAACAGCTGCTCCTCCCGGTCCTCGTCCATCGGCTCGCGCTTGGACCGCTCCGTGGTCTTCGGGGCGGGCGGCCGGGATCGGCACACTAGCCTCCGGCCCCGCTGCGGGGAGCGGATGTCATGAGCCTGCACCCCAGCCTCACTGCACCCGGGAGGAGGCCTGGACACCTGCCCCGAGTGCACGGGAGCCCCCGGCCCAGGCCCAGCCCAGCCCAGCCTCCCCAGCGGCTGAGGTCCTGTGCGGTCTGCGGGCGGGCCAGGGCCTCCGAGAGGGCCGGAGTAGGGAGATCTATCTGGTCTGCACGCCAGGTGCTGGCCCTGGGTGATGAGTGGCGGTGGGGGAGCAAGGAGGCACCTGGAAACTCGGGAGACGCCAGGCTAAAGGGACATCTCTCCGGCCATGAGGGTCAGGAGAGACCCCGCAGGGTCCACACTGGTCCTTGGGCCAGGGTCAGGATCGGGACTCTTTAGGGACCACAAGTCCAGCAGGCCAGCGGCTGCTCTGACCCGTAAGCTATGGGTGGGGGATGCAGCGGCTGCGGGACCCTCAGGGAGTGAGGGGTGGTGGCCTTGGCCTGCGGTCTGGCTGGAATGTAGGTGGGATCCCAGGGGGGCACTGAGCTGTGGGCACCAGTGCTCCTAGGGAGGGTTGGGAGGGTGCCCGGAAGAAGTGGGTCCTCAAGGGCAGGTGGGGAGGGAGGGCAGGCCTGAGAATGGGGGCCCTGGCTCCACCCTGACATTGCTCTGGTGACCCGTCTCCCCCAGGACCCCAGCAAGTGTGTCCACAAAAGTGGGCGAGGCCTGACGGGTCTGCAGCCTTGAGCCCTCCCAGCCACGCCCCCTCGACGCCACCACGCCTCCTGGGGCCACGCCCCTAGGGGCTGCCGCGCCTCCTCGGGACTGCCACGCCCCTTGGGGCCACCACGCCCCCAGGCCGCACCTCCTTGGGGCCTCGCTTACCTTCTTCTTGACCTCGGCCTGGGCCCGTGCCTGTGCGCGCAGCAGTCGCTCCTCCTGCAGCTGTTTCTGCAGCTTCGCCTTCTCTTCCCGGAGTCTGGATGCAGAAGGTCGAAGTTAACAACCAGAGGCCCGGAGAATGCCACCAGCTCCTCCCCAACGCAGCCTCAGGCCTCGGCGCCTCTCTGTCCCACCTCCCTGCTGGGTCAGGGCCTGGCTCTGGCCCTGGTTGCTTGGGAGGGCCTGGCTTGGGGCTCATCTCCCTTCGGAGGCCCAGGTTCCTGGCTTCCCCTCCTTGGTCACTGATGTATCTCCACCCTTGAAAGCCCAGGCCCCAGCAAGGTCAGTAGTCCCGAGTCCTCCTGTCTGTACTTGAGGCCACCAAACCTTTGTCCACTGCCTGCCTGAGCAGGGTCTGAGGACCCAAGGGGAGAGCCCTTGTGTGTGGGAAAGACATGGCTGCTCACAGATGGCCGTGCCTCAGGACTCTGCTGGGAGCGAATGACCCAGGTGACCAGGAACTGGCCTGCACCCCACCGGGCCCATGGGGCACACCCTTTGCTGATTCCCCTTCAGCAGCTCTCAGGCCGGCTGTTTCCCTCCCTGGCCTCGGGCAGTACAGCTCTTTGCCGGGAAAGTGCCTCTCGCTGTCCCTTCTCCTTGGCGGTGGGGTGTGGGAGGTGGGGGGTCACCCATCACTTTGCTCCCGGGGTCCCTAACGCCACCACGTGCCTCTCCCAGTGGAGGGACCTTCCCCACTGGGCTGAGCCTGCGGCCCCATCTGAACCCCAGATGCCCCCTCCCAGTGGGAAGCCCCGGGGTGTGTCCCTGTCCTCAGGGCCAGCCCAGAGCTGGCAGGGGTGTGCAAGACCTCCCCACGCACCGGAGGCGCCTCTCCTTCTCCTTGGCTTTCTCGGCCTGCTCAACACGGGCCGGGGGCACGCGCTCCAGGTTCTCAAGCAGCTCGTCCAGCTGGTGCTCGATGGTGGCCAGCATCTGCACGGTGCCCAGGCTGGACTCCTGCTGGCCACCCACGCAGTGCCGGTAGACATCCAGCACCTTGCAGTTCAGACTCTCCAGCAGCTTGTCCTGTGAGGCGGGCAGGCCTCCCTCCAGCAGAGCCGCGCGGGCCCAGGCTGCCCCCACGCCTCAGCTGGCTGACCTCCCAGGGCTCTGCCAAGCTGGCAGGGGGTGCTCGGTAAGTCAGGGGGCACAGAGCTGGACACTCGGGCTTCTCTTGGGCAGAGGGCCGCGCCCTGGGCCTCTGTGGTCAGCCAGATCCTGAGTCCCAGCACCTGCTGGGGCTCCTGCCAGGACCCAGGATGCCCACTGAGGCCCCGTGACCTACTCTGCCCCTGCGCTGACCTCAGCTCCCCCACGGACCACATTCTGTGATCTGCTTTCTGTAGTGCTGGGCTATACGACCTCCCCTCTCTCAGCCTGTTCTGCTGTTCAGAAGACACGACACCACCTATCCCCTGGGGTGGCCAAGAGGGTGGGGGGAGGGGCAGGGGCACAAGGCACGGCTGGCGCCCAGTAGCCTGGGGGTAGATGCCCAGCCCGCTCTTGGGTCTCCAGGTACTTGGTCCAGTGCCCGGCAGGCAGGAGACTCTCAACAGCAATCAAATGAACTAGGAAGCTGGGTGCAGGCCCCGGACCCGTGGGCTCTGTGCTCTGGGTCCTCTCACCCTCCCGGCCTGGCTGGGGACGTGCCTGCCTGCCTCCCTGAAGGGTCACTTCTGGACACACTGAGGGTTTAAGAAGAAGATGAGTTCACGGAAGGAAGGAGGGATAGAGGAGGGGTGTTGGGGAGCTGCCCACTCACGGGGTGTGAACATATGACTGGCTCTGATTTGGGGCCAAGGGCCTTGTCCCGCAGTGCCCGTGGATCAAGCCCAGAGCCTGGCGAGTGGCAAGGACCATGGCAGCCCTGGAGAACCTCCGGGCTGGCTCTCCTGAGGTCTGGGCCCCTCTGGCAGGGATGACTCCCACCCTCCACTGGGGCTATGGCCACGTGCCCCATCGCTGCCATCTGCCCATCTGGGGACCCTACCTCCTGATCACCCTTGAACTCGCCAAAATGGAAGACGCGGGCTTTGAGCTCCAGCTCCGCAGCCGTCTCCTCCTCCTTGGCGATGGACATCATCAGCGTGGTGATCCACTGCTTCAGCTGGTTCACCTCCCGGTCCCTGAGGGGCATCGGCACCTCTGAGCCTGCTGGCTCTGCTGCATGCTGAGGGCCGAGAGCCCCAGTCTCAGAGGCCCTGGTGAGATGCAGGGGAAGTCTAACATCTTTAACAATCCATGCTAAAGAAAAAAAAAAAGGAAAAACCAAAACCTGCCTTATTGAGGTATATAATTCACCATAAAATTCTTTCGAAATGTCCAGTTTTTTCATGACCATCATAATCTAATTTCAGGACAGTGTCATTAACTGGAGAGAAGCCCCCAGTCACTCTCGTCCGCCCCCTCCAGTCCGTCTCTCCTGGACATAAGCACGGAGCCACATGACGTCTGTCCCTTTGTGTCTGGCTCTTCCACCCATCACTGTGTTTTCAGGTCTGTCTGTCCTGTAACATGTCTGGTCAGAGCCTTGTTTCTTCTTACGACCACTTCTTACGACCCACCGTGTGGGAGACCAGGCTTTGCCAGAGTCATTCTTCAGTGGACATCAGGCAGTTTCTACCTTTAATCTCTTGGGAACAATGCTGCTGTGGATGTTCACTGGACAGGGTTTTGCGAGCCCAAATTTTTAATCCTCTTAGGGGCTTACCTTGTGGCTCAGCTGGTAAAGAATCCACCTGCAATGCAGGAGACCTGGGTTGGGAAGATCCCCTGGAGAAGGGACAGACTACCCACTCCAGTGTTCTGGCCTGGAGAATCCCATGGACTGTATAGTCTACAGGGTTGCAAGAGTTGGACACGAGTGAGTGACTTTCACTTTCACTAGGAATAGGATGGCAACAATCACCTTTTCTATGAAACATATTAAATTTTTCTTAAGTCTTTCGTGTTCATGGCAGACATGCATTGTCTGCTGGGGTTTCTGGAGCAGGAACCCCGGCTCTTACAGTTGGCATGGGTCTGGCCAGTGTGGGCAGCGGCATGCCAGTCCTGACCAGAGTGAGCAGGACATTGGTCACTCAGCCAGCTGTGCCTGTAGGGTCTAGAGGTGCCCCTTTCCCTATGGTGGTTCTGAGGCTCTGCCCAGGTGAACAGAACTACCGACATTTTCCTGTGTTTAGGCAGAGTGCCACGGGAGCCACTCCTTTGCCCTCTGTCAGGAGCACGGGCGCCGGGTGCAGGCCTCCGCCCCCTGGCAGCCCTCTAGGCTGCAGCCCCATGGCTGTGGGGCTGAGGTTGGGAGCCTGAGTACGAGGGGGCGGAGCTGGTCTGGCCAGCCCTCCCAGGCTTTCAGAGGCAGGTGGCCAGGGGGGCCACCTGCAGCTCACACACACCCTCCCCTCCAGGCCTGGGCCCTTATGGGGGGCAAGCGGGTCACCCAGGATAAGAACAGAGGCCGGACCTCCCCTCAACGCTGAGTGCCCACTGCAGAGTCAGCAGTACATCTCCCAGCAGTACATCACTGCCAGGAATCCAGCTTGCTCCTTAGAGCTTCCTCTATGTCCAGTGCCTGGACACGAGAGTGACCCTGCAGCCAGCACCCCTTTTACATGGACCAGACTGGGGGGGGCAGGTAATTTTGTTCTTCTATTTCTTTCCCAGGTATTTGGGATAAAAAAATGCCTTTTCCACACTGTGTGTGTGCTCAGTCATATCCGACTCTATGCGACCTCATGGACTGGAGCCTGCAAGGCTGCTCTGTCCATGGGACTATCCAGGTGAGAATACCTATTCCCTTCTCCAGGGGGTCTCCCCGACTCAGAGATCAAAACCGAGTCTGTAATATCTCCTGCACTGGCAGGAAACACAGTCTTTCCTGAGAGCTCATGTTTTGGCATTATTCTGGAGACTCTTGATAGGAAATTATCCAAGGCAGGATGTCAGTCAACAGGACATGAGCACACACGTGGTCAAAGCTGTGGGCTGGCTCCATCAGGGCTTTTGCACATGCTTCCCTCTTCCCCCAAGATTCCCTGTGGTGTCCCATCACTCAGGAAGTCCATGGCTGAAAGGACACCTTCCCCTGGGAGTCTCCCCTACCCTCTCCCATCTGCCGCCAACCTCCACTTCAACCTCCTCCTCATAGGACTCTTTACTTTACTCCTAGCATGTGTTACTACCCACAAGGCAAATCTGTGCACATCTAAGTCGGCTCCCCTCGGCTGCCAGCTCATGGGGCAGGGCTTACCGTATTCATGAAGGGCCCAGACCCCAGCCTGATCCGGAATGGGGGCTTACTCAAGGTTCGGGAGTAAAGAGGTGATCCCCTGCTCCCAGATGGCCTCACCTGGAGCCAGACCCTGCCCAAACGGGCTCTGCAGGGCTTGGTGTCAGCAATAAAACTGACTCCTCTTTCTGTTCCTGAAAACTTACTATGAGCCAATGCTGGGCAGAAAACACTACATGATGAAGGCTGGAGAGTCAAGTAGCTTGGATCATATTACTACTTTAAATAACAAATAACAATGCTAGTCATTATAATCATTAGTAAAGTAAATGTGCATGTGCCCAGTCACTTCAGTCATGTTGGACTCTACGACCCCATGGACTGCAGCCCACCAGGCTCCTCCATTCATGGGATTCTCCAGGTAAGAATACTGGAGTGGGTTGCCATTTCCTCCTCCAGGGGATCTTCCTGACCCAGGGATGGAACCCGCAGTTCCTGCATTGCAGGCAGATTCTTTGCTGCTGAGCCAGTAAAATAATCATTACAAAACCACCTTGGGGGTGTCTGTGAAGATGCCCCCTTCCAGCTGCAGGCTGCTCCAGGTTGGGGAGAGGTCAGCCCCTCAGGGCTCCACCTGCCTGGCCCACTCTGAATCTCAGCTCCTGGCCCAAGAGGACACAGCCTCTCCCCAGAGCTGGCAGGGCCAGCACCATGGACAGGGCAGGGCGGGCTGCCCAGCAGCAGACCCCTCCCTGAGACCTACATGCGGGTCTGGGTGTTCTTCAGGGTGAAGCTCAGTTCCTCCAGGGCCTCCTCCATCTCCTGGGTGTTCTGGACCAGGGACAGGTTCTGCTCCTCCAGCTTTGTGAAGATGTCGAGGAGCTGCTGCGGATCCGTGAAGTACAGCTCCAGCTCCTGTGAGCAGAGCCGGGTGAGGCCCCTGGGCAGTGGGCCTGGCCCTGCGGCCCTGCCAGGAGCAGGCACTCACCTCCCCATCATCGCTGTCGAGGTCGTCCTGCACAGGGAGGGTGGAGCTGGACCTGCGGGGACATGGGGTCGGGGCCTGGGGCACCTCCCCAACCAGCCCTCGTCCCATCCTCTGTCCCCCGGGCGGCCAAGGCTGTGGCTCCAGCCTCCTCTTGGCCCCCAGCGGTCACACGGTGCCGGGTCAGTCCCTCTCACTCTAGTTAGAATAAAGCGTGGTTCCCACCTCGAGGCTGCCAGCCCCAGCAGCTCCTTGCTGCGATCCAGGAGCCAACCCGACCTCAGACCCATGGCTCCCACTTCCAGGCCCCTCCCTGGTCCCCACTCTCTCCCTCACACCTGGGCCTTCCCTGCCCTGCTCCCTCCATAGCACAGGTCATCGCTGGCCACTCTCACAGCTGCTGTGACACTCAGGCCACATGTCAGGGACCTTGCTGGACATCACAGCCCAGCGGCCACAGGGAGGGCTGTGAGGGCTGCAAGCACTGGGGGAACCTGGCCGACCTCAGTCCTGCTTCCGTCACCCCTCCCAGCCTGCAGCTTGTGCAGACATGCAGGCTCTGCCGTCCCCTGAGCTGGTGAGGCCGGCTTGCAGCTGCAGGAGGCTGGGCTGAGACCTCAGACACTCCAGCCCAGCCTTCCTGAAGTGCAGAGCTGGCATTACAGGGCCCCGCTGACAGCTAGCACACTCGCCAGGCCTGTGCCTCAAACCTGTATGCACGTTGATTTTATTGTGTAGTCACTGAGTCGTGTCTGACTCTTTGCAACCCCGTGGACTACAGCCCACCAGGCTCCTCTGTCCATGGGATTTCTCAGGCAAGAATACTGGAGTGGATTGTCATTTCCTCCTCCGGGGGATATTCCCAAACCAGGAACTGAACCTGCATCTCCTTCATCAGCAGGCAGATTTACCATCTGAGCCACCAGGGAAGCCGCATACACACAGATGCCATTGAATCGGCACAGGAGAAACCTGCCTCTCAGAAAGCCAGTCACCTGCCCAAGGGCACTCTTGGCCTGGAAGGTGCCCTTCTAAGACTCTTCCTTCCAAGAGGACACAGCCTGGAGCCAGGCTGGACTTTAGCTCCGACTCGCCCTCCTGGCCAAGTGCCTTGTACAGCCCGTGACCTGCCCAAATGTGCACAGTGGCCATGATCACAGGGCTGGCAGGCAGAGATCCCAGACCTTTGCTCCCAGGGACCTTCCCTGCTGCTGGGAGCTCCAAGGCTGAGGGCACCTCACCAGAGGAGGCACACGCATCCGACCCCAGAGCTGGAGACCACAGCCCGGCCCAGAGGGATTACGGGACCAGAGCTAACCTCTGCACGTGCCTGGCCTGGTGCGCTTGAAATCAGAGAAAAAGGTACGAGATCCAAGTCTGATCGTGTCGGTGCCCTGCTGAAACCTCCCGGCCTATGCAGCCCCGGACCCCAGGGTGGGGACTCGAGGCAGAGCCAGGGTGCAGCCCTGCCTGGCTGGCTGCCAGGCGCCCCCACCCCTCCGCACCTCATGGGCAGCCCACCCGGAGAGGCTGGGGCGCACAGTGACGGCGCTGGAGGAGCGGGGGGCCCCGGAGGCGACAGTGGAGCAGGCCTGTCCTGTGGTCAGTCATCACGGCGTGTGGCGGGGAGGGCGGGGTGTCAGGGAATTACAGGAAGACATTCAGGACAGGTCCCTGGGTGGCTCGGTGGTCCCTGAGGGGGTGTTGCAGGGGCTACGGGGTGAGTCACCTGGGCTGGATCTGGTCCAGCTGTGTTTTCCATAAGACTTGAAAATAACTGTCACAATTAAAGTTTGGGAAATTCTATATGAAAATCCAGACTTCCTGCTTCCCTTTCACGGTACAGGGGCTCTGCCAGCCCCCCAGCCAGCACTCTGGGCTCTGAAGGTCACGGCAGGAGGGTCCTCTCCCAAGCACCCCCCGCTGCCTCCTCCGTGCACCTGTGACTGTCCCACCAGCACCCACGTGGGCCACCCCAAGCTCAAGTTCACCAAATGACACAAACGTAAGTGTCTGATCAGGAAACACCGTGATTCTCAGGCTTATGTTGAACTCTAGACCCTCCAGGCTGGACACGGCCCTTCCTCAGCCTCTCCCCTGATCCAGGCACCCCGAGCTGGTGCCACGGGGGGCCACCACCCAGCAGGCCAGCCTCCTCCATCACCCCCTCCCCATGCCCGCTCACCTTTTGGACTCCACCCCGCTGGACACGTTGGGCAGGGTGCTCTGCTGCTGGCTGACAGTGGTGGACAGTGCCTGGCGCAGCCGCATCACTTGTAGGAGCTTGGCGGGCTTCTTGGGGCTCTGCCCCTCTGGGGGAAGCAGAGGGGGGCTGTACACCTGCCCACCCCCCACCCCAGCCCACAGCAGGGCCCCTCCAGCCAGGGGCCGCCACATACCTCTGGAGTTCAGCTTGCCCTTGGTCTCCGATCCTGTGGGAAGCCAGGAGAGGCTCAGGGTCCCAGGCACTCGCCTGGGGTCTCCCCAGGCGGTAGGCCTGCTCGGAGAGCTCCCAGTGTGTGGGAACAACACAACCTCCCAGTGTGTGGGCTGAGCGGTGGGGGTTGGGGGTGGCTCTGGGGGATGGGGAGGCCTGGCCAGGGGACATGGGTGCACCCACCCCTCCCTGCTACCTCTGTCCCCCACAGAGAGCAGCAGGCTCTCCTTGAAGGCCTCCACCACCTCCTTGGCCTGTTTAAGAGCCAAGCGCTTCTTCTCCTGCTCCTCCAGCCACTCTTTGGGCGACAGCTTGTACAGGAAGTCCTTGTAGACCTTGTACTGCTGCAGCATGTCCTCAAATATGGAGATTTCGCTGCACCCGGGAGGGAACGGGCAAGGTCAGGCTCCATCCCTAGGACCCTCAGAGGGGAGGCGACCCAGACCCTGTGTGCAGGCGAGAGGGCTGGCCTGCAGGACGGTGCAGCTCAGTCCCCCAGTCACCACCGCTCCTAGGGCAGAGGGACCTCAGGGTGAGCCCTGCCCCGTGTCCCGGCCTCGGTCACCTGCAGGGCCGGGGCTCCCATACATGATCGGGTGCAGAGCTGTGTGCCATGAGGAGCTCCCTGGGCTCTGGGAGACACGCTGGTGGGCACAGCGGAGCCAGTGCGCCCCCTGAACTCACCTCTTGATGTTCATGATCTGGGTGGTCAGCTCACGAATCTCTAGGATCTTCTCCATCTTGGCTTTGGACTCCTTGTCAGCTCTGGGGGAGGGGGGCGGAGAGGAGGGGGCTCAGGGGAGCATCCATGCTGCCTTCAGTCAGGGCTGCAGGCAGGGGAGCTGCCAAGCAGGGGCCTGAACTGAGGGCGGGGGTCTGTCCATGGCCGCTGCTGGTCGGCTGGGGGAGTGGTGGGCGTGCAGGCCTGGGGCTCACGTTCTCAGCGCCTGCACAGAGCTGCGGTCATTCTCCCTGAGGAACTCGTCAAACAGGGCTGCATCCTCCTCTAGGAACTTCTCCGCCCGCTCCAGCTCGGCTTCCTCCTGGGCCGCCAGCCTCTCCAGCCTCTGGATCTCACTCCGCTTCATGTCCAGGGCGTACTGAGGGAGGAAGCGGCATCATGAGGGCCCTGCGGGGATGGGGCGCAGGGCCCACGGGGCAGCCAGCCTACCTGGATGAGAAACATCTGCCGGTTCTGGTCCACGTAGCTGTTGATGTCATTGGGCTCCAGCTTCTTTTCTGCAGGGAGAGGCACAAGGCATCTGGGGGCGAGAGGGCAGCGGGAGCGACCCTCCCAGGTGGTGGCCAGGGACCCGGAGTCAGGCGGTGCACTACGTCCACCCTGAGGCCCGGGTCATGATAGGGACCACGACGGAGCAAGCTCTGCCTCCAGGCTGTGCAGATACAGAGCAGTCTCCATGGCTGGAGTCTGGCCAGGTAGGAAGTCCTTCCTTGGGTCTGACTTGAGTCTCTCTTGCTTGTAGCACCCTTCTCCCTAGAATGAGGCTCTGGACACCCCACCCTGGAAGTTTCACCTGGCTGGATGTCATGATGAAAGGTCTATTGGCCAGGACAGTAACAGGATGGGGTGGTGAGAGAGAAAACAGGGCAGCAAGATCTCTAGTTGGGGCACCCTAAGCCTCCAGCAAGGCTTCCCAGGTGGCACTAATGGTAAAGAATCCACCTGCCAAGGCAGGAGATGCAAGAGACACAGGTTCGATCCCTGGGTCGGGAAGATCCCCTGAAGAAGGAAATGGCAACCCATTCCAGTGTTCTTGCTGGGAACTCCCACGGACAGAGAAGCCTGCTGGACCACAGTCCACGGGGTCACCGAGAGTTGGGTGCGACTGAGCATCTGAGCACACACACAAGCCTCCGGAGGCTAAGCCCACCCTGGCAGGGTTCAGCCGGGTGGGAGGAAGCGGGGGTGGGCATCAGGGCCGCCTTCTGGAGCACGAGCAGCGAGGCATTGCAGCTGGGGTCAAGGCCCATGGGGCCTCTTTCCCGGCCTTTCTGAGAGCACGGGCTGGGGCGCCCCCACTGTGGATGCAACTGTGGGCTCTCGGCCTTGTCCCTCAAAGCCGCTCCTTTCCAGAAGCACGTGCTGTGGTCCAGGAGGTCTGTTTTAAGTCGAGACAGCTGGCCTAGCCGTCCTGAGCTCCTCGAGGAAGTCAGACCTGCTGGGTCCAGTCTTGCCCACTCAGATGCCCCCTGCTGCTCCCAGGTCTCAACAACAATGGGCGGTGGCGGCAGGGACAAGACACAGGCAGAGCCCCACAGTCGACCCGTCAAAGACGTTCAAGGCCTCCCGCCCGCATCGCAAGCCGCGGCGGCAGCGGCAGAGGCTGGGGCCTCGCCACGGCCACACTCAGGGCCTCTGTGGCCGAGGGGTCCAGGACTCTGACCTCGACTGCTTCTTTCCAGCTTACGGGCTTATACTTCATCAGCAGAACACTGATACGTGTGTTTACTGCTTCAGACTTCCTTGTTTGTCCCTCAGTCATGTCCAGCTCTTCGTGACCCCATGGACTGTAGCCCATCCACCAGGCTCGTCTGTCCATGGGATTCTCCAGGCAGGACTACTGGAGTGGGTTGCCATGCCTTCCTCCAGGGGATCCTTCCAACCCAGAAATCAAACCCAGGTCTCCTGTGTTGCAGGCAGGTTCTTTACCATCTGAGCCACCAGGGAAGCCCTTCAGACGCCTTACAGGGTGATGAAAATAACAACAGCTCACACACACAGCTCCCTCTCACCACGCGCAGTGTGTGAAGACACTGAATCCCAGGACCCACAAGGCTGGTTAGCAGAAGAGGCAGCAGCAGGGTAAAGCTGACTTGCCCAGGACAGACAAGCCAAGGGAGATGCCTGTATCTGACACACAGTGAAGCCTGCACTCACGGTGCAGGTCAGCATTCCGACGGCATTAAAAGCTGCTTTAAAGGCTGCTAGGTTGGCAGTCCATCTGGAACTGACCTTTGGGGCCTGGGAGGCAGAGGTCGGGCATAAGGAAGACCCATTGCCCCCACCACACACACACCCCCCGCACCGCGGCCCCACATGGCTGAAGCCCGCTAAAAGCGCTGCTCCTACAGGAAGGGCAAAGGCGGGCCTGGGGACCAGGGCGGGGGACGGGGCAGGGGACGGGGCGCACCTCGGGTCATGGCAAGCTTCCAGGCCACCTGCTCGTGGAAGCTGCGCAGCTGCTCAGCCCGCTCTTCCTGGTCCTCCGTCTCGTCCTCCAGCTGCAGCTCACGGCGCAGGCTGGTGTGCTTGGCGGACACTTTGGACGAGTAGGTCATCTTCTCGTGCACCCGCAGCTTCTTCTTCTGCTCCCGGTCCTGCGGGTGGCGGGCGGGAGGGCAGGGTCAGCGGGGACGGACAGACTGCGCCCGACCCTCCCCACCGCCTGTCCTGTAGGGGTTGCGGAGTGTGAGGTGGCACACACAGGCGGAGGCACACACTTGGAGGGGTGTGGGGGCCCGTGCGTGTGCTCTGTGCGGGGGGAAGTGCTCGGGGTGAGGGGCATCTCCCTGCGGAGAACAGGGTGCAGGCAGGCAGGGCACCGGAGGAACTGGGGAACCCTGGTCAGAAGCGATTCCAGTCCAGGGTGCAGGGACATGCTCACTGCCTCGTCTGTCCAAAGGTTACACTTAAACTGAGTGTCTTGGGCTGTGATTTCTAAATCTGACAAACCAAGGCTCAGAGAAGCTGGATCCTCAGAGTTTCCAGGTTTGATCAGGAAGCCCACTACTTACTGGGGGTGACCTGGGGCTGGGGGTCACTGGGGATCTGCAGCGCCCCAACCCTTCACTTGGGGGGGTCTCAGGACAGGGCGGGGTGGGGGGCCCTCTTCCCGGTGGCCTAATGTCCACCCCTCCTGCTGCCCAGGCCCTGGGGATGTCGCTGGCTCGAGCCTGCATGTGACTTCCCCCGGTCAAATCCGACATCCCGCTGGTCCTGCCAGTAACAACGGCTGTTCCCCTCCAACGTGTGGTGGGCCCTGATTTGTGCATCCTGGTACAATAAAACTAGGGAAGTGTCACCTGCGAGGATTCCAGTGGGAAAAGGTCTGCAGTTTGAGGGCACTGGGAGGCTCCTCAGTGTGAGGAGGCTGGGGCTGTGCTAGGGGATGGGATGTTAAGGGTGGGCAGGGGACCCTGAAGGAAGGCAGAAGGTCCCTGAGGCCAGTCCAGGCTGGGAGAAGGAAGTCCAGGCTGTGCTGCTGCTGGATGAAGGGGAAGTGTGTGTCGGGCGGGGGTGGGGCGAGCGTGTGCATGTATGGGTGTGTGAGTGTCTCTGTGTGTGAATGTCTGTGAGTGTGCATATGTGTGTGTGCATGTGCATGGGTGTGCATGTATGGGTGTGTGTGTCTCTGTGTGTGAATGTGAGTGTGCATATGTGTGTGCGCATGTGCATGGGTGTGCATGTATGGGTGTGTGAGTGTCTCTGTGTGTGAATGTAAGTGTGCATATGTGTGTGTGCATGTGCATGGGTGTGCATGTATGGGTGTGTGAGTGTCTCTGTGTGTGAATGTGAGTGTACATATGTGTGTGTGCATGTGCATGGGTGTGCATGTATGGGTGTGTGAGTGTCTCTGTGTGTGAATGTGAGTATGCATATGACTGTGTCTGTGCATGAATGTGCATGAGTGCACATGTGTGTGAGTGTGGCGGTCATGTGCGGGGGTGTGCACATGTGTCTGTGTGTTTAAGAGTGTGTGGGCATGACAGCGCATGAGTGCACACGTGTGTGAGTGTGGCGGTCATGTGCAGGCGTGTGCACAAGTGTGTGAGTGTGTGCGGTCATGTGCGGGGGTGTGCACATGTGTCTGTGTGTTTAAGAGTGTGTGGGCATGGCAGTGCACGTGTGCACATGTGTGTGCATGCATGTGCAGGCGCACTACCTCTAACACCGCTCAGATGGGCTCAGAGTCTGTCACCCCTCCATCCAGGCGGGAGGTGGGAGCATGACTGGCACCCATGGAATCCTGACCAGGTCTGGGGTGAAGCCAGAGGACCTATCCGTCCCCGAGTGTCCTCGGTCTTGATCAGGGTGACAGAGGGAGCTGCTGCCTGAGGGATCTCAGAGGCTGAGCCCTGAGCTGGGGGGACACAGGCAGCCCCAGAGGGAGCCCAGGACACTGGCCATGCCTGTGCCTCTGACCACGTGTCCCAGAAACATGGCTCACTGGGTGAGTCCCCTCAGCCTGGCAGGGTGAGGTCCGTCATACTGCAGGGCACTGGAGGGGGGGGGTGGGACTAGCTGGGCACATGGGGGTGAAAGAGACTCTGCTGGCATGCAGACATGGCGTGTCCTGGGGGACAGGGCTGATCCTGGGACTCCCGGGCACTGCAGAGACGCAGCTGTGTGTGTACACACACAGTGTGTGCACATGTGTGTGTGCACACATGCGTGTGCACATGTCTGGCCCCCAAGAAGTCCAGTGAAAGGGGACTGTGCAAGGTTAGAGCATGCGGGGGGTCTCCTAGGGCCTGGGGGTCAGAGAGGGTGTCGGGAGGGGATGGCGTCTATACCAGGTTCCGCAGAAGTTAAGGCACACTGGCTAAGGCTCTGGGACAGACACTCCCTGGGGGTCCCCCTAACGAGAGCCCAGGAACGGCGGTGGTGAAATGGGTATAAGAGTAGGATGAGAGACCTAGGGCCAGGTGGAGTCGAGGCACCTTCACAGGCAGTGTGAGCCATCGACTGTCCTAGAGCGAGAGTGCCAGGGACCAGCGCTCTGGCCAAGGCAGGAAGGCTCCCCCTAAATACTCACCAAGAGAGACTTGTTCCGCTCCTGTTCTCTGAGCAAGAAGAAGTCCACATCCCCAGATATGTGGAAAGGATTCACAGGCTGGCCAGGAACAGTCTTGGACACTGGGGAGAGAGAGGTCCCGTTAGAGAATCAGGGGTTATCTGTGCCTCCAGGGTCCCGGCGTCCCAGCCGCCCGGAGAGGGAGCACCCACGAAAGCACGCACAAACAGCAGACACTCTCTCAGATCCAGCTGTGCCTGAAGTCTGCGCCTGGACCTCCCAGCTCTATAAACTTACCTGCCTGGTTTAGCCTGTTTACCTTCCATCCCTGGCATCTGAGAGACCATGTGAACACAGACCTTCCTGTGTCTCCGATACTGCTACATTCCTGGCCCTCTGTCCTCGAATTTAGTCTCAGGAACCTCAAGGCCATAAGGAAGAGAAGTTCCACCTGCCCTTTGTAAGCGATGCAACCAACTGACCCTGGAGTGTGCGGCACCTGCCTGCAGGGGGCGGGGAGGCCAGCAAAGCAGCTTCATCCCTGCAGGAGCCACCGGGAGCAGGGATGACAGAGTGCCTGGATGCTGGGAGATTGGGGCTGCCAAGGACTCCAGGCCTGTTGCCCCCTTCCCAGGCATAAGAGAGATGTGCCCACAGCCCAGCTCAACAGGTGTCAGAGAAAACGGAACCCAGGGGGCTCCAACCTAACAGCTTAAAAATATAGTTGCTTTCCTACTACCCTCGATTTAGAAGAAACAGGGTTCATCATTTAAAAAAAAAAATCTTCAAAGTAAAAGGAAAATTGTACATGCTCAGTTGTGTCTGACTCTTTGCGACCCCATGGACTCTGTCCATGGGATTTCCCAGGCAAGAATATGGGAATGGATTGGCTGTTTCCTTCTCCAGGAGACCTTCCTGACCTAGGAATCAAATTTGCATCTCTTGCATTAGCAGGCAGATTCTTTACCACTGAGCCACCAGGGAAGCCCAGGAATTATTAAAATAAGGAAACAGACAACAGAGTAGAAAAGTGGGCAGAAGGCAGGGGCTTCATAGCACAGAATCATCAATACCCCGTAAACACAGCTCGTCCCTCTCACTGGTCACGGGGAACACGGGATGCTAACGCATGCCCAGCGGCCCAGGTAACCCAGAAAGGAAGGGCTAGTGCCCAGGGCTGGAACGGCGTGAAGTGACCGGAGCCCTCACAACCTGGTGGTGGGCTGTGAGCTGGAATAGTCTCTCTGGTAGATGTTCAGTGACAAGTTCTAAAGTTTAACATCCCAGCAGCAGTTCTGGTCCTCCCAGTATGCGTGGGGGAAACAGCCTCAGAAAAGCAGGTGGTGGACAAGGAGGACGACGCAGAGTCCATCTCTCCCCACAAACGCATCAGCGATGCGTTTGCACGATGCACATGCAAATGGAAGGGTTGTCACAAAGCACCTGCTGAACCAGCCAAGACCTCAGACACCTGAAAGGATCCCACGTGACCAGACAGGATGAAAGAAAGAAGGAAGAGGAGGGGGACAGGACCTGTACTCTGGGGAGGCTGAAGGGAGGGGAGCTCCTGCCACCAGTGAAGCCCTGTCACTGGTGGGGAGATGAGCAAGGACAGAAGGGGAGCTTCAGGGGCTCCAAGGGTGCCCAGCAGCTGGCCAGTGGCAAGCAGGCTATGGTTTTTCCAGTAGTCAGTCATGTTATGGATGTGAGAGTTGGACTATAAAGGAATCTGAGCGTGGAAGAATGGATGTTTTTGAACTGTGGTGTTGGATAAGACTCTTGAGGGTCCCTTGAACTGCAAGGAGATCCAACCAGTCCATCTTAAAGGAAATTAGTCCTGAATATTTATTGGAAGGATTGATGCTGAAGCTGAAACTCCAATACTTTGGCCACCTGATGCAAAGAACTGACTCATTTGAAAAGACCCTAATGCTGGGAAAGACTGAAGGTGGGAGAAGGGTACAACAGAGGATGAGATGGTTGGATGGCATCACCGACTCGATGGACATGAGTTTGAGTAAACTCCAGGAGTTGGTGATGGACAGGGAGGTCTGGCATGCTGCTGTCCATGGGGTCGCAAAGAGTCGGACATGACTGAGCAACTGAACTGAACGGAACTGAACTGAACTGAAGGGGACAGCAGACCATCGGCCATCCTCGGGAGAAAGGAGGGAAACGTTCTAGACGGCAAACAGGGTGGAGGCTGTACACCGAGTTGTACACATTTATCAAAATGCATCAAACTGTAACCTGGAGGTTTGTCATTGCACTGGATAGGAATGGTACCTCAATGAAGACAGACAGACAAGCCACAATGCAGACCTCTGGCCGCTAATGTCATGCTCAGCTCAATGCAAGCATCATGGGTAGAAGAAACTGTCAGGAGAACAGCTGGGATCAGCAATGCAGAGTCAGGCTGAGCCCACCGCTCACAGGTGGCTCCCAAGGAGGCCACTGAAAGCACAGAGCACAGCGGGAAAGCGGTCTGTGCACACACAGGCAGACACGGGCCCGCTCAGGCATCCTGGTTAACGCTGAGCCAGAGGAAATGCAGGACCCACAGAAACAGCCTCAGTGACACCACCAGGAAGGGAACAGATGTGTTCACCACAGGGACGTGCTATAGGATAAGTAATACTATTTCTCCACCAGCGAAGCACAGAGAACAAAAGGATGTGGAGGCCACTCTGCTTGGTTAAACAAGACTGAAGGTGCTCAGATCTCAACAGTCTTTGGATGAGAACAAATCTTCTGTGGGAAGACATTCCTGAGACAACTGGGTAAATCTGATGATGGTCTGGTTAACTGCTTCTGGGCGTGTGAGAAAGATCCTGATATTTGAAAAATGCACACTGTAGGAATGAAATAACATCTGGAGTTTATCCTGGCAAAATCTGTAGCAATGTGGATGCAACCAGAGATTATCACACTAAGTGAAGTTGGAATGAAAAAGACAAAAACCTTATGATATCACTTAGACGTGGCAGCTCACATATGCCATAGGGACTTCCCTGGTGGTCCAGTGGCCAAGTCTCTGTGCTGCCAATGGAGGGGGCCCGGGTTCGAACCCTGGTCAGGGAACCAGATCACACATGTCAAAACTAAGGGTTCAAGTGCTGCCAACTAGAGACCCTGCATGCCACAATGAAGACAAAAGATCTCGTGTGCCCAGCTAAAACCCAGTGCAGCCACGAAAGGGCTTCCCAGGTGGTACTAGTGGTAAAGAACCCACCTTTCAATGCAGGAGATGTAAGAGATGCAGGTTTGATCCCTGGGTCAGGAAGATTCCCCTGGAGGAGGAAATGGTAACCTACTCCAGTACTCTTGCCTAGAGAATCCCATGGACAGAGGAGCCTGGCGGGCTGCGGTCCATGGGGTCGCAAAGGGTCAGACATGACTGAGTGAGCAACACTCTCACTGTGCAACCTGGATAGTCAGTACCCTGGGATGAACCATAATGGAAAGAACACAAAAGAGAATGTCTGTGCGTGTGTAGCTGAGTCACTGTGCTATGCAGCACAACAGTGCAAACCAACTACACTGCAAAAAACAACAAAGTTAGAAACAGTAAAATATTCTGGCAAAGACAAAAAAAGAAAAAAGAGAAGAAGGATAGGTGAAGCAAATGCAAAATTTTGTCTGCTTCCTATCTGGTGATGAGTTCACTGACCTTCAGTCTCGACTAGGCAGGTTTGGATTTTGATAACTAAAAGAAAGAGGAAGTGGGGGTGGGCAGGGTGGACGGGGAAGCCCAACCCCAGGGCGGGAGCTTGGCCAGGGAAGGACAGGCTCAGGGAACATGCTCAGAGCTGCACACCTCTGCAGGAGGGGCAGACTGGCTTGTGGGGCCGGGTTGGGGGTGGGGACAGCCGAAGAACCAGGAGGGAATCCAGGAAGCCAAGGCGTGGAAGACACAGCAGGGTCCAGAGGACGAGGCATGTGCTGCCAGATGCATCCCTTTCTATCTCCTAACAGGTGGCAACCTTGCGACTCCCTGAAAAGCTGCATTTCTCAGCCTCCTTTGCAGATACTGATGGCCCCACAACAAATTGAGTGTGGCAAGAAACAGTTGGGTGGGGCTTCCAGGGAAGATCTCTTCCCAAGGATGGCTGAGTTAGCCCTTCCCTTTCCTCCTTCTCCCTGTCTGGAAGCAGATGTGACGGCTGGAGCTGCTACAGCCATTCTATGACCAGGCAACAAACTTATGGTTGAAAGACCTGAAAGTAAAGATGCTGGAGCAGAAAGACTTAGAACCTGGTCACCTGGAAGATTTCGTAGGACTGATTTTGGTAGAGCTCCACAGAGCCCTGGCCTGCCTCCCACACTTCTCATTACTGGAGGAAAAATAAATCCTACTTTGTTGCTTACGTTCCTATTATTTCAGGTTTCAGTAATCCAGTTTCTAATGAAAACAGAAACTTTTCTCACTGTCCTTCCCACCAGAAGCTACATCTGAGGCTTTCTGGGGCCTGAGGGTGAGCGTTTGCCTCCCACAACAGGACTTGCACTCCCAGGTCCAGAATTACCTTTGCCTTTTTTTGCACGCTTCTTCTTTTCTTCAGTGACTGAAGAACTGTTGTCTGTGGATTCTGGGCCATGCTCTGGGGAGACACAGAAGTGGCAGCCACAGCACATGACTCAGCAGCTTGGGACAGCTATGCACGTGGCATCAGGCCAGGGAGACTTCAGAGGCTCCAGCCCTGGGGTCTCACCTGCCGGATGACCCTGAGCTCCCACACCTGAGATGATTATACTGACTTTGCCAGGAAGTTTTGAGAACTGAGCAAAAAAAAAGGGCCACCAAAGTTCCAGCACATGTGCCTGAGCCATGAAGGCATCCTGTGACTCCCCTTGGGCACCCCTCCCCTTTGCTCCTGAGGACAGAGCAGGACGGTTTTTCACAGAGGCCACAGGCTCTGAGCCTCTGATGCCTGCCCAGCCAACCTTTCTGCTAGGAGCCTCCTCAGGCCTCCGGGGGCTGCAGTGGAAGACACGGAGACCCCCTCCCTGCTGTTCCCCTGTCAGCTGACACCACGGCACCCTCTGAGGCAGGCAGACAACAAAGGGAGAGAGCAGGCGGGTGGCTGCTGTCGCCCGCTGGCCACTTGGTCTGTGGAGATGACCCCGCATCAGCATTGAATCCCCCCAACGCTGCACAACTCACCATGCGTCCCCCAGAGGCCCTACAGGAGCCTGGAGCTCAGCAAAATCGGGGCCTCAAGCATCCCCAGACCCACGGCCAGGCCCTCCTCCTCCGCTCAGCACCTGTCCTCACCAGACCCCACGGCCCCCCAGGCCCTGACCCCTGAGGCCCGCTGTGCGGACTCCGTGTCCCTCTTTGAGGTGCCTTTCTCGCCGTCATGGCACCTGCCCACACACCCTCCCTTCATCTGGGTTCTTCCCAGCATCTCCCCGGTGCCGCCTGTCCAGGACTGCGGGAGCTCACCCCACCCCGGGCCTCCCTGGGTCAGCTCTGAAGCGGTCCCCTCAAGACTCGGGAGACGCTGCTGCTTCTCAGTCGTCAAGGAAACCGAGACATGGGAGGTGGCAACAGCAAGGCTGGGCCCGATGCCCACCTGCCCCAAACCCCTGGGCACCCTTGCCCTCCAGAAACTCCCATGGCCCAGGTGCCATGAGAGAAAGGCGTGCATCTGTGCTCCTCGATGGGGCTGCGATGGGGGTTGGGTTTTCTCCAAAAATAAATCTATAAATAAACTTTGTATAAAAAAGATTTCCTTAAGACTCTGGCTCCAAAGCAAGAGAAGGTGTCCCGTTTCTAAATTCCCACCAACAGACGTGGCAGGGAAGTGGCTCCAGCCCGTGTGTGGCCCTTCAGCAATCAGACAGCCCAACTTGGAGGACAACCCTTGCTGTCCACCCTGGTGTTTCCAAGTGCAACTAGTTCTGCTTGCCGCACAAGAGCCCAATGAACCTGAGAGACAAGGGGCTGCGGGAATCAGGGAGCAGGCAGATCAAGATGACGGTAGGCTAGCACCTCAAAATAACCATCTTGTGGGGTCTGGAAAAGACCCTGATGCTGGGAAGGCAGGAGGAGAAGGGGATGACAGAGGATGAGAAGGTTGGATGACATCACCGACTCGATGGACGTGAGTTTGAGCAAACTCTGGGAACTGGTGATGGACAGGGAGGCCTGGTGTACTGCAGTCCATGGGGTTGCAGAGAGTCAGACACAATTGAGAGAATGAACAACACAATGGGGTCTGGATGCCAGGTTCTTTGATAGATCAGAGATGGCAGGAGATGAGGAAGCAACGTAAAAAAGGCCATTAATCTTGCAAACATCTCCTAGAATGGCAAGCCTAAGGCAGGGAGATGTCTCCGTTTCTTCCTTGCCATCCACAGGTGGACAGAGTTCTGAACCAAGGCACTTGTTTAACAGTCAGGCAGAGGGGCAGGATTCTCTGAGGCAGGCTGTTCCATATGATAATAGCAAAAGTGACGGAAAGCAAGTCAAAGAAACAGTTCCAACATGGAGTCAGAACTGACTTCTTCTTGCAACACTGGCACCAGCAAGCCACACCAGGAACTCAGGCCGCCCTCCCCACTGCCACTGGACTGGAGGCTGGAGGCTGGTAGCCGCGCCAGAAAATGCCAGAATCCCCCGGAATGCCCCCGCCTCGGCATTAACTTCTCTCCTGGAAGCTGCAGAGTTCCTGTCCAGGGTCCTGACAGCGCCTGCCTGCTGGAGAGTCATTCTGGTGGAGAGACTGACTCCCGGGTCTTCTTGCTTGGCCATCTCCCACGACGTCACCCCTTTCCTGGATATCTGTTCTATTCAATGCCATCGTGAATGGAACTGCCCGTTAATTCCCAAGCTGGACTGTGCGTGGCTGGAATATGGAAACACAACTCATGTCTGAGTGCTGATCTTGTGTTCTCCTATGCTGCTACATTCATTTATGCACGCACAGAGCTTTCTCAGGGATTCTCCACATACAGGATCACCCCATCTGTGAGCAAAGTCTTGCTTCTTCCGTCCCTGTCTAAACACTCTAGCTGAACTCAGCATGGCATTGGAAAGCAGTGGCAGAAGGTCCTGACCCTTGGGGAAAGCTTGCAGCCTAACAGAATTTCATTGCAGGTTTTCTGTGTACCGGGTTCTGGAAAAGACAGCACCCTAAGAGGCAAACAGAGAGCCCCCAGCCCTCAGGCAGCTGACGGTCTACTGGCCGGGGGAGGGGGCCAGGGCTACTAGAAGATAAAGCTGGGGAAAGAGGAAGGTGGGGAAGGTTTGGCCCCCCAGGAAAGCCCTGGATGGTGGGGTGGGGAGGTGGCCCACTGAGTAAGCTCATGGAGGGCCGGGGGGGACACTCTGTGCAGGGATTGCCTGGTCTGTCCGAGGACCAGAGAGGAGAGCAGCAGGTCACTCTGCCCCCAAACCCTCTGAGAGCGGGCCTGCCTCTGTGCCCTTGACCTCTGCACTCCAGCACAGTACCAGGCACAGAGCAGGTGCACCCACACATGGCCACCAGCCCTGGCTTCGGACATCCCGATTCTGCAGCTCCCCAGACTAAGACTGGGTCGCTTAAAACCATGTTTCCTAAATCACCAAAGTAAAGGACTGCATCCAGCCCCACCCCTACAGTCAGCAGCGAATGGGGGAAGGGACGCCTACACATGGGGCTGGGGGGGTCCCCAGTGCGGGGCAGACATGGGGGAGCAACCCCCTCCCCACCAGCCTGCTCAGGTTAGAGCCTGGCAGTGAGCTTCCTTCACCAGGAATGACCCCTCGCCCCCTCCAGTCTTGCCTTCAGGAGATACCACCATTCACTCAGTGATCACTCCCCCCCAATCCATCCCTGGACCCAAGAGGCTCAAGTGGGTTCTGGCCTGGATGCCAGGAGCCCCCAGAGACAGAGGGACCAGCCACAGGCCATGTCTCCCAGAAGCAGGGGTCCTGCAGCCCTGCCTGGGGAGCCTGGGTTCCACTTGTGTGGCCAGCCACTCTACCAGGCCAAGCTCCCCACCGAGGTCCTCTGTCCTCTACGCCAGGGCATGGACTAGCCGTGTCTCGATGGAGCTGTGGCCATCCCCCACCTCCACCCCACTCAAGGTGGGAGGAATGGTGCCCCAGTCACACACTCGTAGACCTGGGCTGTCTCCATCATCCCAGCAGAGCCAAACGGTCCTCCCCACACACACAGGGTGCTACATACTTTCCCACAGTGGCCTCTGCCTCTCCCTCCAGCACCTCACTTCATCCCCAGCTCGTGGCCTAGAACACCCTCCCTTCTGAGAATGGAATGTTTTCTGCCACATCAATAAACAAGGAGCCACAGTCTAAAGTGCCCCCTGCCCTCCAGGGCACCCAGGAAGGAGAGCAACACCTGCGATCCCAGGGTACCAGTCCCAGTGGGAAAGGAGGGGCACTGGCCCCAGGGAGTGACAGGCACACAGAAGGAATGATTTCAGCGAGCCCAGACTCTTTCATCATCCCACACTTGGAAAACCACGAAACTCCTTAACCTTAACCAGGTAGCCTTAACCCGGGCTATCTGGTTTTCTTTAATTAACAATAATCTTTTGATGTTCAGACTACCTGCTCTTTGTTGCAAAACTTCTATATAACCCCCCTCCTCTCCTCCCCTCCTTGTAGCAGTTTTCTCAATGTTTCTCCCAGGCTTGAAGTCCTACAAATTCACACTGAATAAAACATAACTCAACTTTTGTGTGTGCTTAGTCATGTCTGACTCTCTGCGTCCTCATGGACTGTAGCCTGCCAGGCTCCTCTGTCAATGAAACTCCCCAGGCAAGAATATTGGCATGAGCTGCCATTTCCTACTCCAGGGGATCTTCCAAACTCAGGGATTGAATCCGCATCTCTTGAGTCTCCTGCATTAGCAGGCAGGTTCTCTACCACTAGCACCACCTAGGAAGCCCAAATATCCCCAGGGAATGAAACATAATTCTGAACTTGTAGGTTTTGAATATTTTTTCAGTCAACAGCACCATTATGTTGCATTGTTTTGTGTGAATGCATGTAGAGTTATTTTATTATCTGTAAACATTTCAAAGCTATCTTTTTTCTGGTAACCCCAGTTCAACCTTTCTTCATTTTTCAGTTTACTCTGGAGCAGAGCAGATGAGAAAGAGGGAGGGGGTGAAGCACACAGCTTAACGAGGACAGCCATGGACAGCAGCCACCAACAGAGACTGGTGCCTGCACACGTGAAGTGCCTTTGCTGGAAGCACTAAAGGTTTACGGGAGCTCGAGGTTTGATAAGGAACAGCCTGCACAGCATCCGGGTTAGTGGCGAAGAAGGCCCAGGGAGCGTTTCTGTTGTGTGGCCCCTGGTGTGAGAAAAGGACAGGCTGCGCGTGCATTTGTGTGGATGTGTGCAAGGTGTGAGCATGGCGGGCGTCAGGCTTGGAGGGAGAGAGAATGCAGAGGAGCCTCCAAGCAGGTGGAGTTTCACACGGGGGCTCTCAACACCCTTTGGAATCAGAAGCTCAGGACCAGTAAACCAAAGCAGAGGGCGTGTGGCCAGTTCTGCCCCTCAGTCCCGCGGCCGCCCCCAGGGCCACTCAGTGGGAGCCCCAGGGAGGAGGTACGGGCCTCCAGCTCAGGGGCTGGCCAGCAGCTGAGGCTGCAGGAAGGCTGAGCAAGCCCCATCTCCACTGTGGCATCCTCCTCGAGGCCTGTCTTGCAGTGAACTGTGTTCACCCCTCAAATGAATGCTTTTGAAGATCTGAAGTCCTAACGCCCAGCACCATAGCCTGTGACCCTGTTTGAAAAGAGAGTGGCTGCAGATGTAACTCTGGTGAGGTCTCACTGGGCGAGTGTGCACAGCCTTAATAAGAAGGGGAAATAATGGAACACACACACTTAGAACGTGAGGATGGAGTGAAGGTGATGATTCTACCAGCCAAATACCACCAGAGATCGCCAGCAAACCACCAGAAGCCGGGAGGGCACGGGGCACAGGGTCCCCTCCCTGCCTCAGAATGGAAGCATCCCTGCCTGGGACTCGTGGTCCCGGCAGCTGTGAAACAATAAATTCGGGATTATGCCCCAGGCTGGGGTGGGGCTTGGCTACAGCAGCCCTAGGGATTACAGAGTTTCTAGGGAACTTGGCAGAGCCTGTGATTTCCGGTCCGTGGCCTGGCTTAGAATCGCTGTCGCCTTGATTCCACCTTGAACCCGCCGCCCCAGGCTCCCCGCGCCAAGGCTGCCTCTGACCCTGCGCAAGCCCTCCCCAGCCCAGCACTTACTGTTGAAAGTTACGCTCCTGGAGACCATAGGAGGCAGGTTCTCTGACATCAGCGCCGAGGAGGAAGCATGCACTGAGAAACCCGACGTCGGCTAGAGGAGACTCCCAACCTGGGGAGAGACAGCGTCTGAGCCGGGTGGGGCCAGCCCGCAGCCCGCCCTCCGCCCGACGGCTGCCGAGAACAGCCGGCACCTGCCCAGGGCTCACCGCGAGGAGGACACCGGCAGCTCCGACCCGCCGCGCCTCCCTCCTCTCCCCTGCACGGTTCTAGCCGCCCCGGGCTAGTCCTGGTCGCGGAGCTGCCCATCCAAGGTCAGCCTGAGCCTTGGCTCCTCCCACCCCCGACCAGCACTCAGGCCCGCCTCTCCCCAGAAGCATCTTCCCACTACCCCGTCCTCTTCCCTTTGACCAGTCTCCAATAACTCATGTATCCCTTTAACAACGGTCGATTGCCTAGCTCCCCTAGAATGTAAGCTCCCCGAGGACCAGGGGAGGCACTGCTTGGTGGCTCATCAAGCGTTCCGCCCCCACCGCGGCGTTTTTTTTTTTTCCACTATTTGCGGAGTTTGTCTGCATTTTGCAGAGGAGGAAACAAAGTAGCAAACTGTCCAAAGTCACACAGTCAGGAAGGCCTGAGGCTCGGACTCCCGCCCAAGATTCCTTGACTCCAAAGTTTGCACCCTTCCAGCTGCATGCCTACTGCAGCCTCCACGAAAGGAATCGGGGTACTCGGCTTGTAGCAGGACCGGGCCTCCCCACACCCACGTCTGGCCCGTCCGGGCGTGTGGCGAGGGTGCATGGGCCTGGAGGGAAGAGGGGTTGCTAGACGGCTGGCTATGCGATGAGTAAGGAACGGGGAGCCTTGAGACAGGGGCTTGGAGGGGCGCGCGAGATGTCTGCCCCGACCCCGCCCGCGGCTCCCGCTCAGGTCCAGAGCGCACCCACCCGCTCCGCACGCCGGCGCTTGCTCCGAAGCCTCTAAGCTGCTGCCCCGGAGCTCCGCGAGCCCAGGCCTTCGGTTTACGTCGCCATGGCAACCATTCTCCCGGCGGGCGGGGCTGTGACGTCACAAAAGCTCCGGCCTCCCGGCTGCGCCCGCGCCTCAGGCAGGCTGAGCTGTAAGAGGACGCGCCCCACCCAGCAAGCGCGGGCTTCCTTCCTGGTCTGCACCCGTCTTGCTATTTCCGTCATTCTCCTGATAGATTTTTTCACGTGCACCACCTACCTGCCTCTTACTGCAGAGTGAACCTGACAGTCTAGAGGGGCGGCTCTGACAATTGTGGTCCCGGGCCGCAGCATCCCACGTGCTGGGAACTAATTACAGAAGCAAACATTCTGCAGGACCCGGGCGGCGGACCCGGCGATCTGGGCGCCGACAAGCCCGCCCGGCGAAGGTGACTTCAGTGCTGACTCGAATGGAGATCCGCCGCTCCACAGGCTGCATGTGACGCATTGTGAAGGCAGGGTGGCACACCTGTCAGTAAACAGGGAGGGGTCCGGGCTAGATCGCGGAGACTCACCACCGCCCCGCCCCCCCCCCACCCCCCCTCAGACGTAGAGTCCGCCTGCAATGCAGGCAGACCTGGGTTCCATCCCTGGGTTGGGGAGATCCGCTGGAGAAGGGAGTGGCTACCCACTCCAGTATTCTTGCCTAGAGAATCCCATGGACAGGGAAGTCTGGCAAGCTATAGTCCATGGGGGCGCAAAGAATCGGGCTCAACTGAGTGACCAACACACATAAGGCATTTCGGGGCCACTAGGGGCCTCTGGACAGTCCGCAGGCCAGTACTGTGGAGCCAGTGAGTCCCAGCAACTCCCGGCTCTGCCCAAGGCAGGAGCAGTTCTTTGGTCTGTTCTGGGTCTGCCCAAAGTGGGGAGACTCTTACAGTCCCAATGATCCAGCTGCAGGCCTGAATCTGTAGCCCTGCCTCCCTGGGGTCCACAGTCTACAGTCCGAGCTGTGTGAACCCATGACTGTAGAAAGCACACGGTTCTGAGAGGGTTCATCTCTAGCACCATGAGTTCTAACCAGACTTTAGGAGTCTGGAAAACATCCATCTGAAAAGGAGAAAAGCCAACCCCTTGTTAACAACATGTGAGCTGATTTCCTCCTGAAAGAAGGTGTGACAGAGTTCTTGAGAACAGATATAGAAATCAACAGTAACCAATTAAAAACGAAAAGGGCAGGGGGGTTCCCTAAGTCTGCAGGGGGTGGGAGCCAGCCACCCCCAGATGGTGGTGTCAGAGTGAGCCCAAAGCGGGCAGCAGGTATGACCCTGGCCGTGAGGGGGTCCTGATGTGTATTCCTGACCTGCAGAACCTGGGTCACCTGCCTGCCTCTGTCTTCTAGGCAGGAGCCTGAGGGTCCCCCCTCCACCCTGACTGCAAGAGAGGCAGGAAGGAAGTGGGGGCTCCTAAGAAGGGGTCCCCAGCCTGGGTGGGTGGCTTGGGGAGGTTGTCAGAGGCACAGGTGGTCCAGCAGGTGGTCCAGGAGGACAGGAGCTGGTATGTTTCCATGGCAGCAGGTCTCAGGTCACTCCTGCAAAACCGACTCTGTACCTGGGCTTCTATTCACCGCCTTTTTGGAATGACCTTTATTCGGATGTCAAACTCCTACTGTTAGCAAACTCAGGTTCAGCTGCAGGCCGATCAAGAAATTAATACTGAGAGACAAGTGTTAGGTAACAGGAAAGATGGTTTTATTGAGGAAACTGGCAGTCTTGGGAAGAAGGTGGACTTATGTCCAAAAGACTCAACTCTTCACTCCCTGTGTTTTGCTTGGAGATCACGTAGGAGAGGGCTATGCCAGGGCAGAGGGTTGCGGGAGCCATGATCAGCACATGGACATTCTTCTGATTATGAGGTAACCAGGGGTCAGCATCACCAACCTTCTGGTTCCATCTGGTCTGGGGTCCACATCTTGTGGGCAGCACACAGTTAAGTTCTCCCATTGGGCAGGGGTTTCGGTGTCTGCAAAACAGCTCAAGGGGTGGGGCTCAAAATATTATCTACAGTCCTTGAGGAAGATCTAAAGGTCCCTGACTTTGTGCTGTGCTTATTTAATGACTAACCTCTTATTATATTGTCTTACTTGACTGTTTTCCTTTCTCTCTCTGTTTTCTCATTTCTCTGATCACATTTATTCTTTCGCTAATGTTTTTCTACAGACAAGAGGCAGGTGGACGACATGAGTGGGGAGGTCTGTGCCAGAAAGGCCCCAGAGGGTCCTGCTTGGTTCCACTACATTTCTCAAGACTCAGTTCAGGGCTGACCTCTTTGGAGACGTCCCTGGAACAGGGCATCCTGCTGCTCTGTCCCATCACGGCCCACATCCTCCAGGTCCTTCCACAAACACTGCCTAGCCCTGGCTCCTCTGGATGCCCGAGGGGTCTGGTGGGGGAGAGGCTGGAGGGCAGGGACATACTGGAGCCAGAGCATCTCTCCCCTCCCTCTGCTTTCAAGGGCTCCTCGGCTGTGGCCTTCTGGGCGGGCCTGCATGGTTCCAGCCTGGCCAGGAGCCCTGGCTAATTTCCCATGGCCCCACCATTCATTCCCATTTCAGCATCTAGTTACTTCTGTCACATGTGTAACAAATTTTCTATATTCAACTTCCTCTCCTGGAAACTCCCAGGGCTTCTGTTTTCCAGATGAGAGCCTGACCCCCACCCACTGCTCAAAGACCAAGGAGACCTTGGTGGCCAAGGGGAAAGGCTGTGGCATCAGGCCAGGTTGGGTCCATGTACTTGCGCTGACCCTCTCTGGCTGTGTGACATCAGACAGTTTACTTTAGTGCTCTGGGTCTCACCTTCTCCACCTAAAAAGTGGGGCATAAGAACACCTGAGAGAGATGCTGTATGATAGCACAGAACCCAGTACCCAGCGCAGGATGCCAGTCTGCCTGTGTCTTAGTGTGGCTGGAGCGGTGTCCTAGGTCACAGTGTGGCCGAGGGGTGTCCTGTGTCATAGTGTGGCCGGAGGGGTGTCCTGACTGGAGGTCTGCAGGGCACCCCAGCAGGGTGGTCGTGATCTCCACAAGGAAGCTGATAGTCAGACTGAAAGGTGTTTGCCCACGACCACAGCCCATAAGAGCAGAACTGGGGATCAAACCCGGGCAGTCTGACTGCACAGCCCCACTCATGACCACCCCTGTGCATCCTCCACGCGCCCCCCCCCCCGCGTGGGGAGGCACGGTGCCCAGGCGACTGGGGAGGGCCAGGTTAGGGGGTCCGCAGCTGGGGGTGGACGCTGTGGGTTCTCAGCCAGGCAGGATCCCTCCCTGTGCTTCTTAGCCTCAGGGGGCCTGACGTCTGAGCCCGTGTAAGTTTAAAACCCCTCCCCTGGGTGCCGATCCTCTCCTGCAGAATTTTTGTGGACGATGTGGGACGCCTCCGTGGCTGCCCCGGAAGTCTGGAGGCTGACAGTGGCCGCAGGAAGGAGCGGCCGTGCTGCCGGCAGAAACCCCGGGGGCGCTCTCTGTAACTCCCACTGGGGCTGGGCCAGCGCCGCGGTGCTCAGAAGCCTGCCTGCCCAGGCTGCTTGCATCTGGGTTTCGCTTTCTCCTTCCTTCAGGTTCAGAGGTTGCAGGATGTGGAGAAAGTCTGCCTGGCAGTGAGCCAGGACTCTCGTGGGCCATACGGACCCTGTGCACAGCTTCCACCTCACCAGCCTGCCACACGCGGCCACCTGGCTCCAATCCTGCTGCGGTCCACACTACTCCCATGGGCCCAGCCAGGGATGCCACCAGGCCCTGGAAGGGAGTGTGAAGCATTCCACCTGCCCCGCAGGCTCCCCCCACCCCAGGGCCCTCATCTGCCCTGGCAGTGCTCGGGCCTGGCCTGCTCTTTCCCTCACTGTCATCAGATTGCTTGCCTGACAGCGCAGATGGGCAGGTAGTTTGACTGGCGCCCTGGGGAGGAAACAGGGCAGCTTTTGACATCCACATTTGGCTGCAGAAGAATGTGTTCAGAGAGCTATAGGCAAAGTGTTGGAGCCCAGGGTAGGAGTCTGGGCCGGGTTCGAGGATGCCTAGGGTCTAAACAGGGTTCTGGGAGGGCCCTGGGGAGCAGGGGAGCTGCGATGCGTAGGGAAGGGACCAGGAGTGACCCTGCGAGGCTGCCGTGCAGAGTGCGCGGCGGTGAAGGCAGTGGTGGTGGTGGTGGGGGGGGGCCCACAGGTTTGGGAGGAGGGGGGAGGTGGGAACTGCCCGCCACGTCAGGGAGGGTTGGCATAGCGTTCCCGCTGTGATGGGGGTCTGTCATCGCTCCCGGGATCAGAGGACGCTGGGGCAGGCGGGCAGAATGGCGGCTGCGCGCGGTCCGACCAGCCACCAGGCGGCGCCCGAAGGCGGTGTGCGAGGCGCCCCCGAACGCCCTCTGTCAGGCGGGGCTCACCAGGGAAGAACCTTTTGTCCCAGTCCGCGGCGGACGTTTCCCGGTGACGCAGGACGGTAAACAACCTTCGTGGAGGGCCCACGTCAGGCGCAAACGGCGACCTTGTGGCCGGGCGAGCGCGCGGCGGAGTCCGGATCGCTGTTCTGCGCACCCGGGATCGCTGTTCTGCGCACCCGCGGATGAGGCCGCGGCCACCTCCGGGCACCGAGTCCTGCTGGGTACCCCAGGGCCCCTTCCTGGACTGCTGCAGACCGCCGCGGGGGGGATGGGGGATGGGGGGCAGTGTGGACATCGAAGTCTACGCGGCCCCGGTGCCCACAGGCGAACACCCTCCCCCTCCAACCTGCCCGATTTAAACCTGGTCGGGAAAACTGCAGCCCTGCCCCAGCCCTGGCTCCACCGGAATCCTCATTTATTCATAATCCTGTTTCAGAAACACGGTGTAAACCCCATCCTCCCCAAACTCTAACCCAAGGTGTTTTTATCCCAACTCTGCTGGGCCGTTTAGTGAAAAGTGAATGAAGTCCCTCAGTCGTGTCCAACTCTTTGTGACCCCGTGGACTGTAGCCTACCAGGCTCCTCTGTCCATGAGATTTTCCAAGCAAGAGTACTGGAGTAGGTTGCCATTTCCTTCTCCAGAGGCTCTTTCTGACACAGGGAGCAAACCCGAGTCTCCCATATTGTGGTCAGACGCTTTACCGTCTGAGCCACCAACCTCCTTGCTAACTCAAACTCTCATCTTCTCACTAGTCAGAACACTTCTGAAACCAACAGCAATCAAACCTAGGGCTTCCCTGGTGGCTCAGTGGTGAAGAATCCATCTGCCAATGCAGGAGATGCAGATTCTGTCTCTGGGTGGGGAAGATACTCTGGAGGAGGGCATGGCAATCCACTCCAGTATTCTTGCCTAGAAAATCCCATGAACAGAGGAGCCTGGTGGGCTACAGTCCGTGGGGTCCCAAAGAGTTGGACATGACTTAGCAATTAAAACACCACATGACCATCCCTGGTCAGTTATGTGTGTGACAAATATCTCCATCTTCTAAAGACCTTACAGACATGCCTTCCACCTTTTTGTCTAATCCTCCTGGAAACTATTCGTGTGTGTGTGTGCAGTATGTCGGAGGCTCAGTTTCACTCTTCCCCTGTTTGGCTAATGGATTACTGCCAAACACTGAAGGTCTCTAATTCCTCTATCTGCACTTTGATCATCGCCGCATATGAAGTATCTGTACATGCCCTGTGTCCCAACTCCGTTTTATTCGATCAGTCCCCTTGAATTGGTTTCACTCTGTGTCGTGATCACTCATCACTACAGTGGTTCTAAATATCACTTCCTAGTGACAGAGGCACAGGCTGCTGCGTCAGTGCCTTCGGAGTGCGTGTTTTCCAGCACAGATGCCCCTGGGACACCACGCCCTCCTGCTCTTACGTCCTCTGGCTGATCTCTTGGCCTCCTGGTTGGTTGTCACCTTAGGACTTGCCCTCCTCCCTTCTTCCCTGCAGGACAGCGTCTTCTGCACCCTTGCTCCCCTCCCTTGTTTTGGTGGAGTGTTCTTTTAGAGGCTTTCTGAGACTGTCACGGGAGTGAACTTTTGAGAGCTTGCACTTTCAATCACCTGATTGATAGGCTGGCAGGGTACAGAATTCTAGGTAGGAGTAATTTTTCTCCTGGGACGTTGAAGGCATTTGCAGCCCCTTATGACAGATAGTATTTTCCAGAAATAGCCAGAGCAGCACGTCCAGTCCTGAGTGGTCTTCCAGAACCCTGCTGCACTCCACCAGGACACCCCTTGGACCTCGGCAGGTGTTTGGGTCGCCCTGACCAACAGCAGGCATGGGAGTCAGGTGGAGTGACTCTCCAGACCAGGTCATGACAGACGGAGGGCTTCCTCCTGGCTCTCTCTCCTGGACTCTCTGCCCTGGAAGCAGCTTCCTCATTCTGAGGAAGCGCTGGCCATGTGGGGAGGCTGCACGTGTGTGTCCTGGCTGGTAACCCCAGCTGAGGCCTCAGCCTGGAGGCAGCATCTGTCCAAGGCGAGAGTGACCAAACTTTCAGATAATTCCAGGCCCCAGGCTGCACATCACCAGCAGATTCCAAGTGGCGCAGAAGTGGACTGCCCTCTCCGCGCCTGCTCAAATGGAAGATTTGTGGGCAAAATAATTGCTGGGACTTGCATTGTAGCCTGTATGACAGAACGGCCCTCATCACACCAGCTACCAGCGAAGCAGAGCTAAGGACACGGTGGTGAGCCCTGCACCTGCGGAGACGGCGGTCCAGTCAGTCACTTCACATAAACGTGCAGCTCAGTGCAGTCGCTCAGTCATGTCCTGACTCTCTGCGACCCCATGGACTGCAGCACACCAGGCCTTCCCGTCCATCACCAACTCCCGGAGCTTGCTCAAACTCATGTCCATCGAGTCAGTGATGCCATCCAACCATCTCATCCTCTGTCATCCCCTTCTCTTGCCTTCAATCTTTCCCAGCACCCGGCTCATTTAAACTGAGTCAGCTCTTCCCATCAGGTGGCCAAAGTATTGGAGTTTGAGCTTCTTTAAAAATTATTTATGCATTTATTGCTGTGCTCAGTCTTCGTTGCTGCATACGGGCTTCCTCTAGCTCTGGAGAGCGGGGGCTACTCTCTAGTTGGGGTGCACAGGCTTCTCATTGCAGTGGCTTCTCTTGTTGCAGAGCACAGGCTCTAGAACACAGGCTCAGTAGTGGTGCATGAGTCTAGTTGCCCCGTGGCATACGGGATCTACCTGGATCGTGTATCGAGCCTGTGTCCCCGCCATTGGCAGCCAGTTTCTTTACCGCTGAGCCACCAGGGAAGCTGTAATTAACTTTTAAAGTAATGTGAAAGAAGGTGAACTGTGAACCTCCAGATGTTCAAGCTGGATTTAGAAAAGGCAGAGGAACCAGAGATCAATTTCCAACATCCACTGGATCATCAAAAAAGCAACAGAGTTCCAGAAAAACATATACTCCTGCTTTATTGACTGCACCAAAGGCTTTGACTGTGTGGATCACAACAAACTGTGGAAAATTCTTAAAGAGATGGGAATATGAGGCCACCTGACCTTGTCTTCTGAGAAATCTGTATGCAGGTCAGGAAGCAACAGTTAGAACTGGACATGGAACAACAGACTGGTTCCAAATCAGGAAAGGAGTTATGTCAAGGTTGTATAGTGTCACCCTGTTTATTTAACTTCTATGCAGAGTACCTCATGAGAAACGCTGGGCTGGGTGAAGCCCACGCTAGAATCAAGATTGCCAGGAGAAATATCAATAACCTCAGATATGCAGATGACACGACCTTTGTGGCAGAAAGCAAAGAAAAACTAAAGAGCCTCTTGATGAAAGTGAAAGAGGAGAATAAAAAGTTGGCATAAAACTCAACATTGGGAAAACTAAGATCATGGCAGCTGGTCCCATGACTTCATGGCAAATAGATGGGGAAACAGTGTAAACAGTGACAGACTTTATTTTTTTGTGCTCCAAA